CTCTGATTTCTGTGACTGCTGCTGGCGTTCTTTGGATTGGGTCATTGTGCTCTGAGAACTGAGCTAAATAAACACATCATGATATTTCTGCCACAGCTGGATTATAAAAAGTATACTTTCTCACACTTGCGAAACAGACTCCAGTTAGGTCTTGACTACGCAGTTATTTCTCGACCACAGAAAATTAATTTGTTTGACCAATGTCTAATAAGACGTGCTGTTATTCTTCTGGACTGTATCCTTAACTAGGATTTGAGCCATAACGTTATGTCGGAAAATAAATATGCTTTGCCTGGTTAAGAACAAGGGGCATGTGTGCACAACACTTTAAAGTGGGCTAAATGCTGTTGTACTGCTTTAATGGCGTTGGTGTTTGCACTCATCGGCAGTGTATCGTGCATTAATTACAGCCGCTCTAGCAAAGTAGGTGGTGTAACGTGCCTTAAATGACTTGGGGTGCAGCAAACTCAAACTCCTCTGAAGAGTTTTAGTTTGCTGCCCTACAGCCATGGAGCGAAGCACTGGGCTCCGTGCAGCTCTGCAGCTCTGCAGGGAGCCCTGCAAGCAGCCTCACAGCAGCCTGAGAAGGCAGGCTCTGCCCAAGGAAAGTGGCAAGCCTGATCTTTCTTTTGCGTCCCCCTGGAGCCTGCCTGATCTTTATGGGGCCTGGTGCTTACTTCCATGGCTGTGGTGCCCGCTGGGACTACCTAAGCCAGGTGCCTGTGGGTGGGTGCCGTCTCAGGAGGTGGGGGTGGGCTGCCGGGGAAGGAAGCATGACCCCCACCACAGCCCAGGGACTGCTCTACCCGCCAGCAGCTTGTCCTCTGCTCTCTGCTGACAGAGAGGCAGGTAAGTCAGCATGGTGTGTGCATGACACGGGGGTTTAAAGGGCCCTAAATTGAAGGTGTTTTTAAAAACCCACCGCTTCAGTTTAGGGCCTCGATTTTGTCTACACACACCCCTGGTTACTCAAAGTTGATCCAAGCTGGACAAAAGCTTTGCAAACCTGGACTGAGTTTTGAGCTCAGGTGATTTATAGGCTGTCAATTTTTTTGTTGCCCTGAAAAAGAAAATGCATGTTTAAAGAATGAAAATTTTCTAGCATTTTAGTTTGTCAAGACAATTTTCACTCTTAACTCATTCTCCCTTTAGTCAGTGCAATGCTCTTCTCCCTCCTCTGCACAAAGACAAAATAAATTCTTTTCATCTTAATGGATCATGAACTTCAAAGCCTGTTTTTGGCCATAATCACTTGTTTTTTCAAAAAAAGAAGTTTATTTAAAAATAAAAGCACAAGCATCTAGCTTGTGACCCATTAAAATGCTCTGGAATTGAACTATAAAGCTCTTTATGTTGCTATCTAACAGTACAGTTAATGGTGTTTTGCATTGTGAAGTGAAATGTATTGTATATTTAAGCAGTTTAGTTACCATTTATCTGCTCTAGGAGTCTTTGCTGTTTTGCATCTGTGTGTAGGGATCCCAAATTCCAAACATTTAAACTATTTTCTGTTCCATTTTCCTACCACAGTTTTTCTGGCTAAAGCAATTCTGAATTATTCCTTCTGAAAATATGGGATAACAATAATGCAATTCCCTCTGGGGATGACTATATTTTGCAAGGCACAGCACAACATTTTGAGGCAGAAAAACCAAAGCCATGTCTCAGCAACCTAGGACTGGAAGAAGCCTCCTTCGGGCTCATCAAGGTCCAGTCCACTGATATTGCAGCAACTGTGCCACATAGAATCATAGAAAATTAGGGTGGGACGGGACCTCAGGAGGTCATCTAATCTACCCCCCTGCTCAAAGCAGAACCATCGCCGACTAGATCATTGCAGCCAGGGCTTTGTGAACTGGGCCTCAAGGATGAAATTCCACCACCACTCTGGGTAAATCATTCCAGTGCTTCACCACCTTCCTCCCATGGGTATTGTTCAGACTGTGATGTCTAAACTCTACTTTCCAAAAAGAAAAAAGTGTGCTAAAACCCTCCTTCAGTGCTTGAAGGAAAAGGCAATTCTGTGCTTTTATTTGATTTTCTATTCCTGAGGAAAGCTAGACTAGCTGTCATATCTGGAAAGGTTACCACTCAAAGGGTACATCTGTGCTGCAAATCTGAGGTGTTACTTCATGGATTTCAGTTGAGTCTAGTCACTCAGATGCCTATTCATGGTCCTACGCATGCTTGTAAAGACTGTGCTGAAACCTGTGTTGCCTCTCTTGCACTAGCTTGATGAAAACGTGCTTTAGTGGGTCTACCAAAGCTGTAAACACATCTGGTTGAAGAATAGAGGCACTCAAGGACAGACAGATTTTTTTCTGGGTAGTGTTATGTAAGGTGGAAACATACACTGTCTGATGTCTCATTTGTACTTATTTGTACCATATATGGTAGCACAAATACTGAGCAAATAGACATCACACCTGTTGTGCCACATGAAAGGAAAATCAGTGGTGCAACAAAAGCTAATAATAGACTGAGGCTTTATTGCAGCAGACTTGCCACGCTGGGTAGGTACTCTGGAGGCTTGAGGGGCACTCAAACCCGCAGAGCACTTGCCCACTTTCCCCCAGTTACAGGGGCATCCTAGGGAATCTCAGGGTACTTCCCCATAAGTAGGGAAAGCGGGGAGATTACATCAAGGGGCGATATGTTTCACCCAGTGAAGCGGATCAGCTGTGCCACGACACAACTGATCCACTTCATTTGGTAATATCTATTTCTAGACAAGGGTGGTTTACAGATGTAACCCCCCCCAACAAAACAAAACAAAACAAAACAAAACAAAACAAAACAAAACAAAACAACACTTTACTTTAGGCTCAGTGTGCCCTTATGTCAAGCCCAGTGCATGCCCAGACGTAGCATCGTGTTAGTTGGACCTGACTCACCCAATGTCTATATAGATTGGTCGCTTCAGTGGGGCTGTTTTGGTGCTTTTAGCTAATGGCTGATTGAATCAGCTTTAGATAAAAGTGACAAAATCCCTGCTGAACTGCGTGATCTATACAGATGCTGTGGAGCCAGGTCGAACTAACATGCTGCCTCTTCCGGTAAAGTGCTAGGTTTTTTTCCCCACATCTGTCAGCAGTCATACTGTCTAATTACTCTTGGGTCATATTTGAGGCCTGGGATCAAGTGATTTTGAAATGGAACCACAGCGAGCTGAGACGCACATGCAAGCCCAGGGTTCATTTATCTCCAGAGTGTTTTTAGATATCTATAAAAAACAAACAGTACTTTGACATAGCAGCCTACTCTATGCAAAGTATACACATTTGCTGATATTACATGCTGACAAAGTGCCTGTGTAAACCAGAGAAAAAGGGGGCATCTGAACTAGTGGACTGAATCAATTAGATCAAATTATTTTGCTAGGGGCAAGGCAGGAGCACCAAATGTACCAAAAAAGGGGCCTAGGACAAAGATAATTATCTTCTGAATTAAGGCACAAGTTCTGAGTTTCTTGTTTTCTCTCTCTTACCCAAAAGAAATCTTAGTCTAGTTTGGCCAGTTTCTGAATGTAAGGATATAAGTAGTTTGGACAGGTTTCAGTTAAACCAATACAGAAACAAACTGGTTTTGACAGACCCTGAAATCATTCTTTAGTTATGTCTGCTTGGCTTGACAGTTGTCTTCCTACTAATTCACCTCAAGTGTCACAAAATTCACACTCAAACTCAGCATTGCCGTCTCATCCTCTGAAGTGGTAAGTGATGCCAATCCTTTCCAACAGAAATGCTCAGCACCTTGAAGATTAAGGCCTCTAGTAAAAGAAGAAATCGCCTTGCCTCTCCCATAGTTTCTGGACTATCACAGCTACAGCATCACTCTTATGCTACCCATTAAAAAAAAACAAAGCCAAACAACTTACCCAACTTTAATGGCATGAAAATCAAGCCCCTGTATTTTCCTTCCTGTAGAAATAATTGTTCAGCTTCTAAACACACCTACTATAGGACAGATTTCCTGGTTAGACCAGCATCTTCTAAATACTAAAAAAGTTATTTTTTTGTTTTGTTTTACAAAACAGCCACTTGGGAGTCCCCTTTAAAAAGAAATGGCTGCTGTTTGTGGCTCCTTTTCCTGTTGTTGTGCTATTTTAATGTTTTTGAAGCCAGTTGGTATAATTTAAATATGTTGCTCTAGCACAGGATGCCTATACATGAGCAAACTTGATTAATTGAGTCTGCTGGAGCATGTTAATTACTGTTTCATGTATCAGTGTCCTTGTACTTCAAAATGTAGGTGGGGGTTCTCGTTCAATGAGCTTTAGATAAATTGCCTCCACCACCATTTTGAAGCTCAGGAATGCTGATACACAAGATACTCCAGGTGCTTTAATTTGAGCGTCTCTTGGAGAACCGGTTTAATTAGAGTGCCCCCTGCCCTTCCCAGAACATATGTATAAATGCCCCAAATGTCTATCCTCCTCACCACATTCTCTTCTGTATTACTAAAGATAGAGTGGCTTCAAGCCTATTATCAAATGCCTGAAGACAGGAAAAACTCAGGTCCAGGTTTCAGAATCAGTCTTGCTCTAGTAATTCAACAGAGAAGTTTTCCTGTGAGCAATTCAGTCAAGGTAAAGATGTTCAAACATGGTATTTAAAATTGCACTTGCAACTTTATACACATATCTTTGGCACATTCGAGTCCCACCACCAAAACATTCTGTACACACATAGAAGCACTTGTTCACACATATCTTGATTTACTCATTTAACCAGTCTGCTCTGTTCCTGTCCCAGTCACTAGCTTTCTAGTGGCAATATAGACGGGAGGGGCAGGGGCCCCTTGCTGCTTGGATTGTTCCCTTACTGCCCAGACTGGCTGATGTCACCCTATGCCACTGGGATCACTCCCTTGTTGCCAAGGTTGGCTTGTGCTACCCTGCACCACTAGGATCACTCCCTCCCCCTTGCTGCCCATGCCGCTTGGATCGTTGGACCACTGCTTGTAGGGTCGCAGGGGGGCTGACCTGAGGAGCATGGGTTGATCCAAACAGTGCAGGGTGGTGGGGGGTTCCTACCTTCCTCCTTGCCTGCACTCCTTCTCCCTTTTCATGTCCCCTTTCCCCACTTCTCCTCCCATTCCCCCACATTTTGCCTCTCCTGCAGCTGCCCCCAGCTGTCAGTTTAGGGCAGTGGTAGGCAATTATTTGGGCCTTCGGGTCACATAGGGAGTTTTGGGGAGCTGTTGCAGGTTGGATCAGCATCCCCACAGCAACAGCTCATTAAACCTCCCTACGTGGGATGTGGCTGTGGGCGGGTGGGGAGCTGGTGTGGGCAGGAAGCAGCTTCAGCAGGGCTACTACCAGTACTCCCTCTGTGCCGCCCTTCTACCGTGAGGAGGATCTGGAGCTGTGGTCCGAATTCAGCAGCAGCCTGGGTACAGAGGTGGTGGTGGCAGCTGATCAGAAACTGCTTTTGGGAGTGGGAAAAAAGTGGGACCTGGTGGTTGGTGCAGCTGCCTCCCCCTCACTACTGTACAGCCCTTTTCACTGCTGCCACCCAGAGTCCATGCTAGGGCTGCCCTGTGGCTCCTCCCCACTGCCACCACTGCTCTACCAGGTGTGGGGACCTGGGGTACTCTGGAGGGGGCACTAGTGGTGGTGGTGGTGACAGGAAGAAGCTACAGGGCAGCCCTGGCACAGGTTTCTCACAGATGGCAGCAGCGAGAAGATCCTGGCAGTAGTGAGGGGAGGCAGTTGCACCCACTTCCAGGTCCTGCTTTCTTCCCAGGCCCAGTGCTTCTGTCCAGCCACCACTACTGCCACTCATCATGACTGAGGTGGGCAGGTCCAGAGCAGGCACTGTAGGGACCCTGATCCCCTGTATGGGGCGGGCTGGGGCTGTGGTTGTGTGTTAACCGTGGGGCTCAGGTCCTGCTTGTGCAGTTCCCAGGCAGCCTCCATGGGGCCAGGGCTGGTGGTGGCAGCAGTCAGGAGTTGCCATGGCCAGGGCTGCCAGGAAATGGAGTCCAGATGTGGAGTTACCGCAGCTCTGCTGTGTGCCTGAGCACAGTGGGATGCACCATGGGCCAGATAACACCTGGGCCATGTAGGACTGAGGACTCGTTGCAGGATGAACAAAGTCCCAGTGTGGGCCAGATTCGGCCCACAGGCTGTATTTTGCCCACCCCTGGTCTAGGGCATAAAGGCCTGGGAGGTTAGCTAGTCCACGTAGGGAGGGCTGGGAGCAGTGCCTCCTGGGATACTGGAGGACCACAAATTGCTGTTATTAGCTTTATGGAGCAGACTGATGTTACTGCAGCATGAGCCACCTAATGCCAGTTGAAGATCATCTTTGTCTGAAGAGGATTGACTCTGAGATACTCAGAGGGTACTTAGTTCATCTTTTACTGTCTTAGCATATGGACACTCCTGTCTTTAGAGCATGTAATGTGTTTGAAAGGTAATGTGCAACTAAGTTACGCACCCTTTCTTGTTTTCAACCACACTACAATGTCTTTTGCAACAATGGGTACATCTACATGAGACAGAATAATGCTCATTAGCCTAATTTAAGGAACATAACGAGCTTGTGTCTACACGTGCATACCCTTAATGCACATTAAAAATGGTGAAATCAGGCTAGTTGCACCTAAATTTGATACCTGCAAATGCAGATATCAAATTCCGGTGCGATTAATTAAAGTGCATTAACACACGTGTAGATATGACCTGGCACAAACTTTAGTGCTGAGTCTGCCCAGCCACTAGGGGCACATGGCAAGGCTGCAGGGACTTGGCGCTAACTTTAGTGCTAAGTTGTTGCACATATAGACACTTGCCACAAATCTCTTAATGCACATTAGCTTAATGCATATTAAATTTAGTTGCACTTAAATACACATGTAGATGCACTCAATGAGTTTCAAAGGCTGAATATATTATGTAAAGATGGATTTCCTTTCACTTCATTTAAAAAAAATGTGTCCGCTGTCCATTTCACTAAGTGGCTCCCTACTTTAATAGGAAGAAAATTTTAGAATAATTCAAAAAATGCAGACTGATCATTTTCACTGAACTTCTCACAACTCTTCATGCTTTTATGAAGAATCTCCATTAAACTTCCCATTTTCCATGTTGTATAATCTTAGCTTGTCCAATTAGGACAAGTAACTGACTATAATGCTGCTTTTAGAGACATAGAAGATCAATCCAGAAAAATGCACCACTACATCATGTGTCCTTGCTGTATTGACCCTTCTGTAAGCTAGCTGCTCTTGATGTAACAGCAGTTCTGGACTGTATGCATGATTAAACTTTCTGAATTTCCACATGAGTATTTTTTCTTCTGATGCTCCATCTGGAAGCTATGTGAGGCTTTGAATCCAGCCTTAAGGAGTGCTGCAGAAAGGCACTTCTGACATTGATCAACCCATTTCAGCTTTCTGTAACTGGATTGCTTTCAGACACATATGCTGGTACCAATTCATTTGCACTTAATTGATTACAATTTTGTTTTATAAGTGCCAAAGAGTGCTCAAGAGGCCTAATTAGTGCTACAGTTTGACTTAATATAGCTGGCTCAAAAGACATATCTCTTGTAATGCAAAGCAGATATGTCCAGTGTTCATTTTAAATTTCACAGAAAGCAGCAAAAGTTTATCTATGCAAATATATTTTTAAGCAGTTTAAATGCACTGTCTTTTCCCAATGCTTTGAACAAGATTTGCCTTAAAGACAATGGGAGTTAACATGAACTTCCATAGCACTGGATTCACTTTTAGATAAATATTACTATCTAACTAGTGGATCTTTCTTTATAGCAAAACAAGGTTTTGAATTAATGGGATATGGGGAAAGTGGGCATTGGGGGGAGGTGCTTATTTTTGTCTTTTCTTTACTATATTGACACCAAATCCACAACATGCTGAGCCTAGGACATGATTAATACAGGTCATCTACCTTTTCTTTAACATTATAGACCAAATCCATTAGCCGCTACCACTACCACTATGACTGTGCTAACACATTAAGATCCCACACAAAAGATAAACACATCTTGAGCAGAAGTTCTGTTTTTTGTGTTTTATGCAACTTTATGCAAAATTCTTTACAGTAAATAACTGTTTTCCCAAACTGCCCTGCTCACTTCAGAATCAGAGCAGTATTTACAGAAGCATTAGGCTTCTCAGGTTCATGTAATCAGTTCCAAAGGAAGTAAGCACCTAGTAGCATGAGACATATGAATAGAAGAGGCATGGAGCCTAGTGCCGTTCTAATGAAGATAACCATGTTACTATTATATATTATAATACTACTGATAAATATACCAAGCACTATCTTAGAAATGGCTGTTAGGGAATTTTTGCCTCCCCATGCAGTACTCATTATAAGGAGCCTGTTTCAGAACTAACTTCTCTTCTAATTTCCACCAAAATTAACTCATGAGCAATTTATATCTATTTGTACCAATGTTGCCTTTCAGTTGCCTTTCAGATGCCTTTCAGTTTGTGCCTACATATTTCTTTTTCCTTTATGCTGTATTTATAGACAACAAATATATCCCCTGTCATCTTTTATTTTGCTAGGCTAAGCAAGACAATATCTTTCTTTTTTTTTTTTTAGTTTGTATCCAAGGCCAAATTAGCCAGAACTAATTCCAAATCCGAGAGTCCAGAATCATAAGTGGCCCTACTACTGGCAAACATCCTCCACTCACACCTGGGGCTTCAGATGTTTCCAGATCCTTTGGTGGGTAACCTACTTGCAGGCCCAAGCCCAGAGGCTTGGGGTTCGGATGTCCCAAAGTTTTGCTTGCCCTTAGCCATAAGGCCATCGGAGCAAGCAAGGGAGGAGCCAGTATCTTCCAATTTCCTCTTGCAAAAAGGTTCTCCACTCCCCTGAATATCCTAGTATTCCCTTCTCTGCACCTGCCCCAGTTTGGCTACATCCCTTTTCAATGTAGGTGACCAAAAGATGGTTTCCCTTACTATGGGTCTTACCATTCTCTTTAATGTTGGCTACAGGTTCCTTAATGGGGTGTATCAATGGTCTACCAGAGACAGCAAATTTCTGCTGTTTCTAGTCCCACTTTAGTTAAAGACCCAGAGCTTTATGTAAAGTGTTTTCAACTATAATAACAAGGCATAACCATGTAAATCAAATAGTGGCTTCTCAGTTGATTAAGAGACTGTGATTGTACAAGCAAGATTGAGAAAAAAGACCGTATTCCCTCTAGGGTTTTGAATCTCCAGATGGCACTGTAATACCATCCCAAAAAGCAGATGGCTCAATATTACAGAAGATACGGTAACAGCTGAATCAGTGTGCCTTCTGTGTATAATTACCAATCCCATTGCAATGATGATTTATAGGATCCAAAATTCCATGCATTCATTTTGATTTATATCTGAAATATTAAAATCTTAGCAGCAGAACAAAAACATAGCATTAATATTGCTTTGTCCTAAAAATCCAACATAAAGCAAGATCTTGGCAGCACTGTGATTAATTCTAAGACCTTCAGTGCAGATGAACTTAGAAAATGGCCTAGGTTGCAAGTTAAATGAACTTTGGTAGTCATTATTCCTGCCCTGACTGTTCATTTATTTATACTGAGAAGCAATAACACGATTAGGATGGCACAGGGGCCAGTGTCAGATGTATTGACAGAGCTGCCAATAGGAAATCTGCAACAACATGGACACATTACATTATATTCTTCTCAGAGGGAGAGAAGCATAAAATTCAGCCAAGATCTATATAAGGGATACACACAGATTTCATGCCAAGTATAAAAATTTTTTTCAGAGTCCCTTAGACATATAAAACAATTCCTGACCTGCTATGGCCAATATTGGATAAAATGTTTTATAATATATTTAGAATGAACCTAGAATGTATATTTAATGGAAAAAACTACACAGAAAAAAATGCTGGAAAAAGGAATTTGCCCGCTGAACCCCACAGGAAAATAAGATTTATTCATGTCTTTTGTCTAGTAAGAAGTATGTCCCTTGCTCTCTGATGCAGCTGTCTGCAAACAAGTGGGAGAGGGCCTGGTGAAGTTTGGCTACCTGTTGCCCAGATCTGTGAGGTAAGGGAAATAAGAGGTGCCTTTTTAAAGGTTGCAGTAAATTGTTTCTACACCTTTGAGAGCAAAACAGAAGAAACCGTGCCTTAAATAATTGTCTCTGAGATGCACTCTTCTCAGGGCTACTGCTTGGGTGAGGCAGCACTTCAAGGCTGTATCTGAAGGCACAAAGATCTATGAGATCCCAGTCCTATTTTGCTATTTTATGCCAGCACCCAGGCTTTGCAAATAATTTCCACAGGACATGAAGATTAAGAGACATTATTAATACAGCCAAATTCTCTGCTGAACGAAGCTGAGATGAGCAGGGTCTAAGCCACATGGTCCACTGAATATACACTTTATATTACATTTTTGAAGGGTTAATTATTTTTTTCTTGAAAACTCAATAAAAGATCTAATATTATAGTTCAGCAGGCTCCACAGAAATTCACTATTAATAATATTACACTTCAAATTAAACAAGAACTCAGACATAGTAGAAAGGAGGGAAAGGTGGATGAAGATGACAACATATACTCAAAGCATATCACAAAATACAGCATTAAAATAGCATGAAAAATGTTGAGACAGTAAAAGTATCAGGCTGAAACATAACTGCAAATGTATTTTAATTGCAATCATCATATTCTGAAACCAAAAATGGCATTAAAAATACATTTTTAATGAATGTACATGTCCCACTGG